AAAGATTCAATTTTTATATTCTACAGGGTGGTGCACCTCCTTCGTCTCGGTTGATTATACGAAAACGGAAAGATGTAGAAATGAAATATTATATGGGTATATGTGGGAAGGTAATGTGCATAATTTAAAATTATTTTGAAATGTACAGGGTGTGTCGGAACTAAGATCCATACCCAAGTCATATTTTTTCTTATGGAACACACCCGGTATTTTATTTCATTTTTGGAGTCTTGAGTCTAATGATAAGGCAGTTATTATAAGGGTTTAATATGTCTAAAAGCTTTAGCACAATATTTTGGATTTTGAGATATTTAAAGATATTTAAACATGCATGCTATAATAAAAAAGTTTGTCAACACCTTGTACATTACTTTTCAGAGTTAATTCTGAATAATTGTAACTTTCAAGCCATAGATATAAATTTTATAAAAAAATTTGATTGCTTCCTTAAATGTATACAGGTGTATCAAAAATTGCTGATCTATTTTAAATATTTATTTTACATAAAAACTTCGTTATTTAAAATGCAACACCCTCTTTTTTAAATAAATCGAAGCAGATTTAAATGATCTTTCTAACTATATTAGGGTTTCCTATACCTATCTGGCTCAGATTTTGAATAAAAAGCAATTTTTCAATAAAATTGTAATCAAGATGGCTGTTGCCATGGCAATTTTCTAGTGACATTGAGTAGCTATTTTCAAAATCGACTTTAGTGTGACTTTATTTAAATTTATAACAGGTTGTTTTAATTCACTAAGGCGCGGTCTCTTCAGTTATAAATAAATAACTTTTATCTAACAAATAACCATCTAAAAGATAAACAATGTAGAGCCTGATATCTATAGGATATAACATTTGGGTATTTTCATACAAAATAATCCAATAGATAACAATTTGGAGGACGGCCGCCTACGGACCGGTAGACACTCCGTAGAGAAAGTGTTGCCAATATAAGATATCTGAAATTGAGATGGTTATATATGAAAAGTCGATACAACAGACAGAGACAGAAACTCGGAATTTCAAATCGTTAGATTAAAAAGTGAGGTTATTTTTCAGTTGCCAAAATGAAAATACAAACAATAAAATTCAACTAAAATATATTTTGTGTTCAACTCCAACTAGTCCTATTATGATATAGGCTATTTAAATTTACTAATAAAACAATAAAATTCAACTAAAATATATTTTGTGTTCAACTCCAACTAGTCCTATTATGATATAGGCTATTTAAATTTACCTTTATGGAAAAAGGGAAAGATAATTCAATTTCAGCAGTGGTGGTGGTGAAATAGATCTATTGATGGAATGCGATTTATAAGAAATTAAAACAAGAAAAAATAATCTGTAAGTAATTTATAGTTTAATTACATGATATTACTGTTATATTTATTATATTAACATTTTAGTACAATTGATAATAGAAAATATGGAAGAAGCTGGTGAAGTGCAAGCAGAGATTTATAAACCAATCCTAAAACCACCATCTGGTAAGTTATTAATATTGAAAATTAAAAATAGCAGAAGACTAATAACAAATATGTTTCTAGGGCTTCTCATAGTAAAAAATAGGTAGGATAGCATCAATGATAGTAATTAAGGTGAGTTTTTATTTTATAAAATAGATAAATGCACTTATACTTTTGTCTTAATAATAATAAATGAATAGTACCTATAATAATTGTTACATTTACACATTATATGTACAAATTATTTAATAAAAAACATTAAATAAAAACAATTTTGTCATATTACTTTTATTTTTAAGAACTTCAAGTGATGGAACTTCAAAAAAAAAGAAAAAATAAAGGAAAAATCTTGTCTAAACAAAGTTGAACTAACTGGAATTCAAAGGACCACAATACAGATGTTTTAGCAAGCTTTAGCTAGAGAGTTACTTAAAAAACAGCATGGAGAAGAGATGTACCATATGATCGAAAAAAACGGCGTCAGCAATGGCTATGAAATAGAGATTGCTGTCATTTCATATGTAAATTTATAAAGGAAATATCATCGATCATCATTTCCCAGCCAACTGGACGACTTTTTTTTTGATCATACGATATAAGGTACATAGTGCAAGAAATTAAACTAAAACTGTAACACAAAAGAAATAAAAGAAAATAATGTGAGTTGAATAACAGGTTTTATAAAGTTCCTGTTATAATATTAATGAATTAAGATATGCGAATTAAAAATGAAATAAATAGTTTGATTTAAAAATTTTTATTTATTTTTTACCTACTTTAGAGCTTTATTAAAAACTAGTTGAAGCCTGGCGCATCCGCCACGAGATCAGGAAAAAAATACTGTTTATTTTTTTTAATTAAATGAAAAACAAAAAATCCGGCGACGACAGTTTTTAGAAGAGCCATTTAGCTATCTTTTAGTAAAAAAAGCAACTTTCTAGAGCAACTCGTTACTTCAGTAGAGACGACACAGATAAACATTAGCATTTTATATAATATGTAGTAATGGTTTATAATTGAAAGGATTTAAATAAAATAATTTATAAATTACTGTTTTATCACTATCATCCTAACTTAATGCGAACGATTCTCTTCGTTCTGATGCTCTAACAGAACAGAGAATCACTTTATTTTGTAACAGTCCTTATAAAGTCCGGCACCAGCAACAATAGTTTTTTGCACCATTTCAATGTGTTTATTGGTGTTTATACCCCATACGTTCTAAAATGATTATAGCCTACATACTCAGAATAGGTAAGTCTTTTCTAAATAATCCAAAATCGAATTTATTGGAATAAACGAAATATTCAATAATAACAATGTCTTGGTTATGTTAAGCAATTTTGTCAAATATCAAATAAAATCAATATCTCCTCATGCCTTTGCTCATGCGTCAAATTTTTATCCGACAAATAAAGCACTATTTGGCAGTTCGGGCGCCAGATAGGATATCTAGGAGATAAGTTTAATTTATCTAATAGATACTGTTATCTATAGGTGAAGATACGTGTTTTTCTGCTATCCGCCAAATAAAATATATCTGGTAGATTATAACACGCTATCCGTACCTGAAAACACCGGGGGTAAGGTTAATAAGTAAGTATTTATTATTTTATCATGAAAAATGAGGCAGTATCTGCTGGCGAAAGGAATGGATATGTTACTAGTGATTTTATTTTGTGAGAACAATTGATTGTTGGCATGAAGGGTTTACGCTCAAAGATATCCAAATAATCGTTCCTTTGAAAAACTACTTTTCCTATTTTGCAAGTGGGGTATATGAAAATATATTAGGCAGAAACCTGTCGTTGGAAGTGAAAAAAATGAATTTGCCTTAATTGGTTCTTTTATAGAAAATCCAATATACCTACAGGCTACAAGTGATCGTAATACAAATCGAAAAGAACTACTTCTTTATTTCCTTGATAAAATAATAAATACTTACTTATTAAACAATTATAGGTAAATTAAATAAAAGTAAACTGTTATAAATTTAAATAAAGTCCATAATTAATAATATTATTATGTCACAAACTAATGTCGATTTTGTATATAGCTACTATAAAAAATACAGAGTGTTGCATTTGAAATAACGAAGTTTTTATGTAAAATAAATATTTAAAATAAACCAGCAATTTTTGATACCCCTAGCTGTATACATTTAAGGAAGTAATCAAGTTTTTAGTAAAATTTATTTCTCTGGCTTGAAAGTCAGAACAAGAATTAATTCTGAAAAGTAATGTACGAGGTGTTGACAAACTATTTTATTATAGCATGCATATTTAAATATCTCAAAAACCAAAGCCTTTACACATACTAAACCCTTATAATAAATGCCTTATTTTATATCCAAAAATCAAAAAAAATTAAATAAAATACCGGGTGTTCCATAAGAAAAAATATAACTTTGGTATGGATCTTAGTTCTGACACATCCTGTACATTTCAAAATAATGTTAAATTATGCACATTGCCTTCCCGCATATACCCATAAAATATTTTATTTCTACATCTTTCCGTTTTCGTATAATCAACCGAGGCGAATGAGGTGCGCCACCCTGTATTATGAAGACATTATATTCAAATACACATAAACTACAAATCAATAGCCATTACGCCTTAATCATATAACTGATAGATATAATATATACCGGGTGCGTCTGAAAAGTCTTTCTTTAAGTAACAAAACGAGATTTGGTATGTTGGTATAGGACAAATTAAAATTGATTGACGTATTCAATTGTTTTTGGTCACTTAATTCCCGTTTCACTTTTGATTTTAAAATGACACCCTCGGTATTTTTTTTACTTTATTTCACAGAAAATGGCACTCTGAATAGAATGACATAGCATATGTCAACTTTTGACATTTTTGCATATGGATTATATGAAATTGTAACGGTATGCGGTTCATAACGTAAATTTGAGTCGAAATACCTATAACCTAATATATTGTGTGTGGTACCAAATTATTCGTTCAAAATGCTTTTTCCAAATATGCTAATGAGTCATTCTTGTTTAATTTGAAAAATTTGAGATATGATTACGATATCTTTTAACCGGGTATCTTTTAACCGGACAGGAGAAGATACGATAAACACTCGACGATCAGGTATATTTTTCCAATGCTCCATGATTAAAAATTACTGTTTTTAATACAGCCATGGCACTCTTTTTTAAGCGAATGAAGTAGGTAAATTCAAAGATAATTGCTTAGACAAAAATGTCAAAAGTGACAAATCCATCAATATTAGTATTCCGATTATTTCAAGATTTTAAACCTATAGAGTGAAATTGTGAAATGTTGTGCTTTCGGCGTGGGAGGATGTCAGCTAGTATTAAAATAAATTGATGAGTCTACATAGTGATGTACTTGTCAAAGTACCTAATCAGATTACTAAATTATTACGCAGGACACGATCAAACTTCTTACTATACTAAAATACATGAATGAACGTTTAATGTAACGACAAGTCTGTCTCCGTGCGACAACTCCCTGTAGGCGACCGGCGGGCATACACACTATCTCTTTCATGAGTTGAGCCAGCCAGTCGCACAGGTATCTTTTCACAAGACAACAAATAACAATCGAATAAACAATCGATAATCGGTCCCGATGCAGGTGCATCCGATTCAGTTTAAATCATCATCGGCCAGCTCTGATGTTTTCTGAACGTGTTGTGCCGTTGTGGTGCTCGGTTTCGCGAAATTTGAACCAGTCCGAAGGCGTAGTGCACGTTTTTACTGCTACTTCCTCCTGCGGTGGCTCTTTCGAAATTTAGTGGTGTCTATTGTTGTGTTTTGTGACTTTGAGGTGATTGGAAACCGAACAATATTTTAGGTATAATTTTATATGTAATTATTTTATTTAAATTTATATCTGAAATTTATATTCTTATATCGCTGGCCTATATGCAATACTTACTAAAAATATATTATTTAAAATATGAACATTTCCTGGAAACTAAAAAAAAAACAACAAATTTTCTAAGAACTAGTTTAGCAATACTGTCACATCTCCTAAGAGTGGTAATAAAAATAGCAATAAAAATTTTCAAAACTAGATTTATATTCGATTTATTCACAATTTTTGAACATAGTCCAACGATATGTGTTCTACAGACCAGCTATCAATTAACACAACAGTTCAAAATTTAAAATGTGCATCTAACAAAATTCCAAACTCATCAAAATGAAATTACAAAAATATGGGGTTTATTTGGAAGTAACTGTAACTGCCTTTTTTTTATATTGAGAATTATCATCAATGTTATCAAATAATTTTGTAGCTTAGACACAAATTTGTGAAATTAACTGAGTATCTACCTAATAAAAACACTTAACTAGTTTGTTGTTTCTCTAAAGTAGAATGAACTAAATTGCAAATTTAAGTTGTGTACAAAGAAAGAAAGCAATATAGGGTGAGTCTTAAATAAGTGCAAATATTTTTAGGGGTAGTATTTCGATCCCAGAAACACGATTATAGTTAGTGTTTTTCGCAAAAAAAATTGAAAATTTGGAATTTAAAAAAAGAATTTTTTTTTGAATTTTCTTGATAGTATGGCAACATATTTAGTAGAATAAATTTACAAGAAAGAAAACCCAGGAAAGATCCAGTAGTTCTCAAAATTTAAGCAAAATATCATTTTTTTTAATTTTCAAAGTGAAATAACTCGGGTTATTTTGAAGTTATTTGGAAAACGGTAAAGAGGAAATACGTTTCTTTTATCGAGATCCACCAATCCTCAATAAACTAAAATAAATAAAAAAACACTTATCACCAAAAATATAGTAAATAAAATTATGAAAAATTTAGTATCCATATTTAACAAAATTGAAAAATTAATAGGTACTTAAAAATGCATACTAGTAATATCTTTAAGAACTACTAAAATAAATAACAATTAGATATTCTGTATAATGTATCTATTTCTAATGGCAGGAAGTTAGTTATATTGTAAATAATGATTATTTCGTAATGTGATTAGGAAGTATAGTGAAAACTTTTAATTCTTATAGGTAACAGACTAAACCTTTTTTTTTAAATAATCAGTGAAGTCATCAATCTACGTAAATACTATAACATTAGTCATTTCTTTTAATTTGCCACACAAACTAAATCAACCCAAAATATATAAATATCTAAGTCCCTAACTATCATGACGATAAATGACCGAAAATGTTTATATTACTAACCTATTAAATTCATTCATAATTTTAAAATAAATGTGGAATACTGTACAAAATAAAATAAGTGATAACTTAAATACTTGAAAAAATCCTGGGTATTTCGTTACGAAACCTAAAAAACTTCCAGAAACTTAAATAATAGGAGTATTATTTTTTGTAAAAACTAAATAACTAAAGTTTTCTCGAAGTCACATCAATTTTAGAAATGTAGTTCTTCTGTATTCTAATTTGTTTCTTGCTTCTAGCTACCGGGGAAGATATGCCCTCTGAAACTTTAATAATTTTTATTGGTTAGGTAAATTTGTACAAGAGTACCAAAGTCTCTAGGGACCTGGTTTACGTTTGAATTTAAATGAAGTGCCATTTTACTTAAAATAACGTTTTTATAATAAATTGTCTATTTTATTATGATTTTAAATCAACGTTTAAGAACCAAATATTAACAAAGAATATATTTTGGTAACCTATAGGAACATAATACAGATTCTGTATAAGGGTTAAGAGGACGTAAAAGCCAACAAAAAAAAGTATAAAAGTAGTTCGTATACTCTCTAAAAGGTCTTCTACCTGCCAATGAAAGTCTCGTTCAAATTGGTTAAGCCGTCTCAGAGATTTAGTAAAACAATAGAACAGTCCTGGCTAGACACTTAAATTGTGTTTTGATATATTATAATGATCCAAATTCATAATTCGATACTTTATTAACAAAAAACTAAATAATCTTGAATCAGCTAATATCGATATTAACACATGGTAATGAATAACTATGACTTCAAACAAATTATTATTTCATTTATATAATTCGTAAATTGGCATTAGAAATTGCGATTATTAACGCTAAAATATATCAAAATATTTCGAAAAGTACGCAACAAACATTACTGATTTGATCTACAAAACATGGCAATTTTTTTGGCCCTTCCTAAACACACGACAAACAACTGTATATTTTGTTCGGCTAATCGTTATAAAATCTGGTAAGAATGGCCGATTGCATATAGCCAAGTTCGACAAAAAATACCATTAGTAAAAATCTAGAAAACACGAAAAGAGTAGTAATCTAGACAAAGACAGCTGAATATGTTGATTTTGTGCTTATTTACCACATTTAAGTTTAGTACAAATACCTAGTGCTTCATATCGAACTAGCGATTGTATATCTCCACTTCCAGCCACAAGCTATAGTTTCTACGAAATTTAAAATATCTATATCAGCTAGGAGAAAGACTGAAAGCAGGGTCAAAAATGATACAAGAAATTTACAAGAAAATAAATAAATGTTAAATAAAAAAAATGCCAAACAATCGCGAAATTATAATTAAACGATTATAATGTAACAATACAAATACACTCATTTATACATCTTTGCACTGCTCTTCGAAAAGCCATAAACGAGCCCTGGTCTTGAACGAAATACTCGTGAAACTCCTTAAGTGAGTTGGTACCTGAGCATAGATCTTTGAGACCGAATAACTGAAAGATGTTTCGTAGAGGGAGGTTTTGTGGTAAGGAACTGATATATTAGTTTTATGACGGATATTAATACTATGAGCCTCTTGTCTCAACTGAATTTTATTGAAAATATATACTGGTTTATGCGACATATAATAATATAATATTATTCAAAAGAAATATATTTTTCATATTTAACCAATATAGTGTTTTAAAAGTATGTGCTATATGATCATATTTTCGCAATCCAAATATATATCTTAAACAATAATTTTGTACTTTCTGTACTCTGTATATATCATCCATACTTAATGACTGCGAGAAAACGACGGAACAATGAGAGGTACGAAACTAAGGTATTGCATAGATTGGCTTTTACCTTACTATATAAAAAATGCCGCAGTGGATAAAGCTGTCGTAATGCCGAGAATGCCCTTTGAATAGATGCAGATATGTGTTGCTTGTATTTCAAATTGTGATCAATTATAATACCTAGATTTTTGGCTTCGGTAACAATATTAAGATTGACATTATTAATCTTAAATTTAGCTAATTGGCAAACATCATGACAGCAATTTTTACTTGAAAATATGACAACTTGTGTTTTAGTTGGATTCAACTGTAATTCATATGTTTGAGACTGTGCATATATATATGTTGTAAATCTTCATTGATCATATTAATGGCAAAATTTAAAGAATTCCTATTAAAAGAGGCATACATCTGAGTGTCATCAGCGTACGTATGTATCTTACAAAACTTAACATCGTTGTGAATTAGAGAGGTATATATACCAAAAAGCAGAGGTCCAAGGATTGAACCCTGAGGAACTCCACGTACTAACTTTATTGGATGTTTTATTTTCCAGTTAGACTATTTGTTGCCTGTCAGTAAAATAGCTTTTCAATAAATTTAATGCACTACCTGAAAACCCCTAATAATGTAGCATTGACCGCAAAATCTGAGGATTTAGACAATTAAACGCTTTGCTATAATCCAACATATTAACACTGATATTTCGCCGTTGTCAAGCGCATACAATAGGTCATCAGTTACTTTAAGTAAAGCCGTGGCACAACTATGTCCCGTCCGAAACCCAGACTGGTGTACAGGCAAGATGTTTTTTTCAGTAACATAACTTTTAATTTGGTTATTAAGAACATGCTCTAATATTTTTGACATAAGGGGCAGTATACTTATTGGTCGTAGATCTTTGAATTCTAGTACATCTGACTTTTTGGGAATGGGCTTAACAATGCCTATCTTCCGCAATCTTGGGAAATATTCAGCAAGTATACAACTATTAATTATATTTACCAGTACATTCCCCATCAGTGGAAAGCACATTCCAAGCATATCCAAGCTTATGTCATCCACACCAGCAGCATTAGACTTAATTTTCTGCAATGTATTAAATATATCATCCACATTAATTAACTAAATAGTGCTATCATATTGATTAGTTTGAACGGATTGCGGCACACACTTAACAAAATAATCATTAATTTTATTTACATCCCTTAAATGACGTGGTAGGTCTGCAGATGTCTTTGACTTACCGATGTTGAGATAATTTAACTCCCTCCAAAGCATTTTAGGATTTTGTTGTTTAGATATATTATCAAAATACCTCCTCTTTTCTATTTTGACCATGCGAGTTACCATGTTCTTTAACTGTTTATATTGCTGCAATAATTCAGGTGTTTTCTGATTTTTTAACTTTATTTTTAAGTTTATCCCGAGAAGATATTAGATATTTTAAATTTTCGGACATCCATGGAGGAGGTGGTTTAGTTGACTGTTTTATATGGTGCATGTGTATCAAATATTGATATTAATGCATTATGTAGGTACTCAATTTCTTTATCGATGTATAAATGTCTCAAATATGTAACTGATGTAATTGTCTCAAATATATGTAATCTTCTACTATTTCCAGTTATATGTAAACACTATTTCGCATTTGACATATCGTATCGTTTATACGTTTTGCCCTAGTACCACAGAAATATGGCCCAAGAATTGCAAAAGTCTTATACGAGCTGGAATAGGAGGGCTGTAACAAGGGACCGCTGTTACAGTAAGCCTATGAAAGGATGTCACAATTTTCCTTGCGGAATCCATTATTAGTTTGGTTTGGTGGGGGAAATATTAAGAGAAGAAAAAACACCGTTCAGTTTGTCTCACATCTTCATTACT